TCAGGCGACCAGTCTGTCACTCAGTCAGTCAGTCAGCCACAAGGTCCAGCCGTCAATCATTTATGTAGTTCGGTGCGTAAAAAAGGAAACGACACTTTAACGGCAGCTATCACAAAATATATACGAGTATCTTGCGGAGAGAGCGTGCCTCGATTATGGGGAGCTGCTACCCTTTTAAGGGCTTCCAGGAAAACTTCATTAGACTTCTGGAAAAAGGCAAAAGCAAAAGCAAAGGCGAAGGCAATGTAGAGCCCCGGGGCCGAAACGGCAGCCGCTTTTAATGAGCCCTCAACTCAGATTGAATGGGGGATGAGTGGGTGTGGAATGATACGGTGGCTGTGGGGGATGGCGGGGCAGGCACGTGACATGACAGTTGGAGATTTTCTTTATTTTCGGCGTCAAGCTGTGAGAAAGCCTGCTGTTGGATGTTGGGTGTTGGGTTGGGTTGGGTTGGGTGATGATTTTTTGGGATTGTGAGACATAGAGGAAGTCGTTGAGAGTTGAGATCTTGTGATGCATTAAAATTTGCAAGTTTTGACTTTGGCTTTCTGTGTATGCGCGCATTAGTGTGTGAGTGACAGTTGTGTGTCAGTGGCACGCGTTTGCCTGCTTTTGGGAGCACTCTCTCACCAAACACACACACGAAGACACTTTATGCAAATGTCGCTTTTCTGCGTAGCTGCCTCGCGTTTTAATGAGCACACACAGACACACCGAGAGATGTATGCATGCATGCATACAACCACATAAGTTGGGGCAGCCCACATTGCAATCTCATCTTCCTGACGCGCCGTCCCCTGCCTCTGGTTCTCTGGTGGGGGCCGCTCTCCGCCACTGCAACTGTGAAGCAATTAAAACGAAATAAGCAAAGTTTTTCGCCTGGCAAACAATTTTCCAGTGCAACATCCAAGAAAAACGCACAATTGCCACCGCCACGGCACACACAGACAGAGGCTCAAAGACAAAGAATGGGAGAGTGGGAGACAGAGTAAAGTGTGCCATGGCTGGGCTTCAATTAGCTGCAACTCCTCCCCCTTCATCCCTACAGCCCTACAGTCCTCTGCAGCATCTACCGACTCCATTTTAGGTTAAAAGCCCATTTGCCACTCAATCAGTTTGGATCAAGTATTGTTTTAAAAGCCTTTTCCCGCATCATTCTCCTCTCTGTTCACTGACTACTACCCTTTGCCAGCCTTGATCCTATTTGCGCTTTTCCTTTCTGTTCTGTTCTGTTCTGTTCTTTCTGCTGCTGCTTCAAGTGGAAGTGCAACACAAAACACCATGTGCATAGGTGTGAAGGTTGCCGCACGCCATGCCGCGGGCGTTGCAGCATCAGCATCTGGAGCAGGAGCAGGAGCAGCAGGAGCAATGGCAAAGGGAACGCACAAAAGGCTAATGCCCCGGGCAGAGTGGAGACTGAAATGGCGGCAGCTTCGCTTACGAGGTGCAACAGCCTGCCAAGTGAAAGTATTACAGTAGAAGAGTCAGATGTACGACAACGTGTTCCCATTTAACGCCAGCGCGCTCTTGTTAGAGAACTTGCAGAAGCAGTAATCTCTTAAAGCACTTCTTATATGTATTTTCTGTATGTATGGAACTACATTCTGTGTTGTTTCCACTGGATTTATGGTGCAGTGAAACATATGTAGGGAATATACTTGCTTGCTAGTACAATATTCATATTTATGGAAAGGTAGAACTGAAATCAAAGCGTGATGTGCATGGATGCGTGCTTCTTATTAAATTCAAATATTATCAATTGTAAATATACTTTTAAATATTGTAAGAAATAGGAAACGGCAAGAACTATGTTGAGATCGGAAACAAATTCCTATTCCTACCGTACTCTGAGACCTATCATGAAGAGAGGGATTACACATTGTACATATTGCATATTTAGAGATATACCAGTTAAGATATATCATCAGGTACTCATCATAGAAGATAGTTAGAAAGAAGATAATTATTTGCTAATTGTTTATTTATTGATTATTTATTGTGGTTAACTGATAGAAATTCAATCTAAATCATACCGAAGTTTCTTATTGTCAATGATGCACAAACCCAGTGAAACAGAGTATATTCCTTTAATTAAATGTATCCCTGACCTTTTGATTCTTGTAGTAATAAGGCTAATATGAAATTAAGCGATTCGGTCACTCCTCCTAATTATTAATTTTCAAAGGTGATAAAAAAGTTAATATTTGGTCTAATATAAGATACATAAAATGGTGAACAATAGCATGGTTGTGCCCTAGTTTATTTATAAATACGTACATAGTAAAAACATAGTATTTTCCCAGGAACTAACAATGTTTCAGCAAAAGCTCTATAAAATGACTTTTGCAATAGTTTTAAAGAAATGTTATATCCGATAGAGTCAATAGAGCTATGACTGCCTGTCCGTCTAATTTGACTCCTAGCTCTTAGATACTATAAGAGGTTAATCAGCCAAATTTGTTGACCAGACTTTTGTGATATCACACTGAATAAGTTTCTTTCACAATTTTGCCTCGCCCTTTTTCGCCCCCAAAAAGAACGAAAATCTGTGGCATCCACAATTCTGAAGATACGAGAAAATCAAAAACGCAGAATCATAGAGAATGTCCAGATCAGACTATGGCATGGCTACGCATTGTGCAGTGTGGTCCCTCTGGCGAAGGGAAGCGAGATAGCAACACACACACACAGTGACTGTGTATCGGGTATAAATGTAGAGCAATGGAGGCGATGGCAGCAAATGTTGCCTGCCATCAGTGTGCCACAACACTTAACGAAGGCATTATGTTGCCAGTGCGCTGCCAACCTATTTGCCGCAGCACCTAACGAAGGCAACATTTGTTGACTGTGTCATGTTGCTGGGCTCCCGTAGTCAGACGGCACGCATTTATTCTAGATATTGTATCCCAAAAGCATGTAACCCTGCAAATAGGAGATTCTATACGAGCCTATGTATCCCTAGAGCTGGAAACTAAAATAAGTTTCGATTAGCAAACTGGAAAGCTTAAAAGAATGCATTCGAGTTAAGGTTTCTGCAAGTTTTAATTGACATTTTATTTTATTGTATGAATAAGTTGGAAGATAATTTGCCGAAATTGGCCGGAACAGACATACATATTTGCATATTATAAGCCATAGGAATGCAATTCTTTGATCCTCTAAATTAATTAATTATGCTTATTTATTACTCAGACAATTCCCTTTGAATCCTAAGCTGATTATCACATGTTGGCGAGGCTTGCGCAAAATTAAGCCTCTGATTGGATGGACAAAGAAAGGATCCCACCTGATGGTGTTTTCAGGTGACAATTGATGCCTTAAGATGACCGTTTATTGCCAGGAGGGGTTAACAAGGCTCAAACATACCGATGGTCAGGTGATGGCTCAATTAGGTGGTTAGGATTGGGTGGATTATCGTTAACCTGCCCCATGCCCGCGGGTTTAGGGGCTTAGTGACCCCATGGCGTCGCGTGAGTTCGACGAAAGGCTTGCGGGCCACTTGGCTGTCAAATTAGTGCCTTGTTCTAGTTCCGAGGGCACATAATTGGCCTGGCCGAAACTTTTTACACGCAGGCATAAAAGATTTATGGAAATTATGCATGTGTTTTTGTTTATGCTGCTCTCAAATAGAGCCGCAGAGGAAGCTGGGATTTATGAGGGGTCCTAATAAATCACACAGATACACACGTACACACACAACGACGACTTGAGGACTCGAGGAAGCGCCTCACTTCGAGTCGTCGCCCATTAATTGGCTGCAAACAAAACAACATTCTGGCAGTTGCCAAAGGTCACGTCTTCGACGGCCGGTCGGTCGGTGGAGGTGGTTGCTGCAACATGTTGCTGGCGGCATTTTCCGACCCAAAACGAGAGAACGAAGATGAAAGAGAGTGTCGCATGCCGAATCTTTTGTGAGAAACGAAGGGCGGAACGATGTGAAAAACTGTGAATGATATGCCCAAGCAGGCAGCTTTGCCCGGCCAGCCACAGCCTTCGTAGCAACAACAACAAGGGCACAGCCAGAGCAAGAGGCAGCAACAGCCGAGCAGCGTAGCAGTGGCAGTGGCAGTGGCAGCTGCTGCGATATGTTCAGTTCTTATCCGTGGCTCGTTTCGTGCTGTTCGCCGTGCGGGTGTGCTCCTCTGCTCGGCCCTTTTCCAGTGCAAGCATCGCATCGCTCTCTGTCCGAGAGATGATAATACCACCAGAAATGAAGCAGAATTTTTTGTCAAAGCTACTTGCAATTGATGTGTCTAATTAGAGAGAAAACAGTAACGAGAAGAAAAAACAAAAGAAAAGCCAAGACATTACTTCGTGGCGTGACTCTCGGATCTTGAGGAGTGCTGCGCAGCGTTCAGGTCGCGTGGTACCGGGCCCCCACCACCCCCTGACAATCCCTGACAATCCTGGCCGTAGCCGGGTGTTCCACCGCCTCTTAATTTCGCGTAAAAATAAACACGCGTCAAGCAAAACAAAACACTCGAAAAAAGAGATCCTGAAATCCGGTAACGGTGGTGAGCAGCAAAAAAAACCAAATAAGAATTGAAATTTAGGCCAAAGCGGATTACCAGACAGCCCACAGTGGAAAAGCGGAAAATAAAGCAAACCCAAGTACAAGCCGGGTGCAGGAGGTTTTCCTTCAAAGGAAAAGTGTGCGAAAAACGGGCAAAAAATCACGCGACCAAAAAAAGACACCAAACAATCGGTGTGCGTGGAAAGTGAAAAGTGAATTGCGGAAAAGCGCAAAGGACAGATAAACAGTTGTGAGTGTGTGCAAGGAGTGGGAGGGTAGGCATTAAATCATATGGAAATTTAAGCCCGTCATGCGGACTCATTAACGTTTTTACAGTGGAGGAGCCGCAACCACAGATCCAGCTACAGCTACAGCAACAGCACCACTCGAGTTGCGTGTGGGTCATCAATTAATCCACTGCCAGCGGTACCACCAACCACAGCAGCAGCAGCAGCAGCAGCAGCAGCAGCATCAGCAGTTACAAGCCACAGCAACAAAAGAGTGAGTTTTCGCACTTAAGTGCCAAAAAAAAGTAGAACAAAAGGCAGCCTCAAAGCGCAGAAAGAGGCAAAAGATATTAATGACACAATAACACACTGCGGTTTCATTTGTAGTGGTAAAAAGTATCTGTATCTGTGACTGTGTCTGTGTCTGTGTCTGTATTGCAGCAGAGAGGAGAGTGTGGGCGCAACAGTTCGTCGGGGTCAACAGTGGATCTGTCTGTCGCGTGGCAGAATAATTTATCACAATTGTCATCGAGTGAAAGTGCAGCAGCAGCATCCACCAGATACAAATTGTTTATGCAGACATTCTCCCCCTCCGCCCACTTTCCACATACAAATAGTATGTACGGGTCAGTGCATTAGAACAATTGGAACGACTCGTTGTGGCTTTAGAGCGAAAAGTTTTCCTTGTTTTCTGGTTTCTGTTTTGTTGATAAAGGAAAAGCATAAATTAAAGTTACCAACTTGTTGTCCCAGACCAGAGGAGAGGATGAGGCCTTCAAGGTTCTTCTGCCTTTTGGATTAGCACAAGAAACTCATAGACGGGTGGGTGGGGGTCAGTGGGGTGTCAGTGGATATGGTAGCTTACAGCTTCTTCCGTTTGCAACTTGCTTACACAACTTATGATGCCAGAGACTTGTTTGTCTTTTAAAATTTCAAGGAAATATTTTCGAACATGAGGATAGTTGTATCTGGGATCCAAAGGAACATTGGACACTCTTTACAGCTTTTAAATTGAATACTGATCTCGTCTAAGTCGGGCTAAGGCTCTACACTCCCATGCTCTTGCTGAGGCTTAAAACAATCATCTATCTCGGCAAAACCTTTTCTGAGTCCAATCCCTCTGGTTCAAAGAAATTTTCATCCTATCCTCCCTTTGCCAGCCAAGAGGTAACCTTGGCCACAATCCGGACAAATCTTTGGATAAATTTCTGTAAGCGCCTCTCGGCGTCGTATGCTTCATGGCCCAAAAAAAGTGTATAGAAAATAAACCGCAAAAAAAAGAAAAAAAAAATCGCACAAAAAAAGCTGGTATGCGTGTAGTAGAACGGGTACATATGGCACACATAAAAACCAAATCACAAAATCCAGTGCACCGGCCTGTTCTCTGTTTTCTGCTTCGCCCTGCTTTCCCCCCTGAGACCCAAAACGTTATAAACTCATATAAATGCGACTCGCCGCAGGATATTTGCAAAAGCTAGAGCCGTGAACCGGCCCCAGTTTTTGTATTACCCGATCCCATTCCCGGCCAGAGCTGTAGCTATAGGAAGAGTCAGAGAGCTATAGCGAGAGTCGGGACGGGACTGTGGAACGTATGGTCGTATCGTGCATATATGCTGGCATGTCCAGAGCGCAGTCTATTAAAGCGAATAGAAATCCAGCCAGCACCCGCACACAAGCAGAAAGGAATGGAAGGGAAAGCCAAGGAAAGCCAGGAGCACCACTCACTGGGTGGAAAATGCGAACAAAACAAGGAAAACCCGAAATGAAACAAAGCGAAACGAAACGAAGCGACATACAAACCATTTGCGTAAATAAAGTTGTGTGTGGAAAAACAGTAAGCAACAAAAAATGAAATTTAGTTAAATTCATAAAAAAAAATTCAATTCTGCGTGTATGACAGCGTCAGTGTGTTGTGTGCGAATTCATATAGATGTGTATGGAGAGGGACAGAGCGAGAGCGAGGACTAGTTTTGGCAGAACAATAAAACTTTCAATACATATTTTATTTGACTTTTCTGTTGCAATTTTATGCATAATAAATCCTCGACATCCAGACGCTGCAATATTTGTCCCAGAAAATGGGAAATATTTGTACTCGTACTCGTACTGTTCCTGTGTCCTGTGGAAAATCGAGCAGAGAGGAAAACAATCTGGGGAAAATACTCTCATGTGCGCGACTTATAAATAATGAAGAGATTTCATGCAAATACAGATTTTGGGATAAACGAGTTGGATCGCCTTAAGCGATATCCATTTGCAATTCTATTAAAACAGAATGAAATTAATCCCCGACCGCCCGTCCACTCCACACATTGATCCATTGCTTTTCTTGGCTGGAATAATTATGGCAATATGCTAATTGCCCTTCGCTTTCCCTTGTGTGGTATCCACGGCTATGTATTTTTTCGGAATAGATGAAAATCTATGCACATTTCCCAATTAACGAAAATTATAAAATGCCGTCGTGTTTGCCCCCCAGAACGTGGCTAAGCCGTGATATTAAAACGGTGGCCATTGAAGGCACGTAGAGAGTGCATTGCATCGAGGAGCCTCGAGCCCCAGGTGGATCTGGTGGCTGCATTCTCACGTACCATGCAAATTGTTGCAAATTATCGGCGTAAATTGCATTTGGCTTTAATGAGTAGAAAGCGTCTGAGGCAGGGCTGTCCTGGCTCCTAGCTCCTGGAACATCGTCCTCCCGTACGCCTTCCCGGACGCCTTCGCCACTCCACCAGTCCATCACCACTCCACTGAAACTCAAAGTTCAATTATGCTTCCGCATCGCCACCCCCATCCTAGGGTGTTGTCCCATTCCGACCCTGTCGCCATCGTCGTCGCTTTTTGCCACTGTTTGCATTTAATTTCACATTTCTGCTGCTGCTCCTACTCTGATTTATGTATTTTTCCTCAGCGAGCAGCTAGCAGCCGCCGCCTGTGGAGCGAAGCGACTTTACATATTTATTTTGTATCTATTTCCATGTGGAGGCGTCTCGTCTTCTCGTAGGCTTCGATTTGCGTGTTGTCACGTCGCGGCTTTTCAAGTTTCGTTGCCCTTGTCATGTGTGTGTATCTGTATGTGTGTCTGTGTGTCTGTGTGAGTGTGTAAGTGTGCCTGCAAGCATGCCTATGAGAATGTAACTGTGTGCAAATACTCTGCCTCAGATATTTGCGATTCTAATGCCTTTAAAGTGCTTCGCGTGATTTGCATACACATCGATGTAGATGAAGGCTTTCGCAGACTTACGTTGACCTTCCCTCTGGGTCCGAGAGTAGGGCTGGAGCTGGAGCTGAGGCTGGGCCATGTCTCAATTACAATTGCTTGACCTCTGTCCCTCTGGGAGATCGCTCAATCTCTCTCGAGTGGTCCGGCTTTGTGGGGCCTAAAATTTATTTTGATAATTAGATAATAATGTTATGTACCGCCTATCACATAATGCTAATTGTTTTTCCGAGCTAATTGCCGGCAATTGTTGCAGCCATGCGATGCCTCCAGACAGACGGTCCAGTCTCCAGCCATCCGTGAGTCCGTGGATGCCGCTCTGGCAGCAATAATTTATCAATTTGCGCTGTACGGAGGAGCTCTGTGTGTTGCGGGAGCAAATGAAGCGAGCATGGAAAAACGAGCTTATCTCATGTCAAACATACTTAAGCAGGGGGCAACACAGCCCAGAGACAGAGACTGATAGTGAGAGGGGATCCCTATGGCTAACATCGGGAACAATGCTCGTAAAATTTTATTGGCCTTTAATGCAATAGAAACACAAGCATAAAAATATCCAACTGAATGGGAAATATGTATCAACATGAGCATCCTATATGGAGAGCAAGAAAGACAATTGGCCATGGTCGAATGCGATTTTTGCATTAAGCACTGGCTCTAACGATTGCGATTGCATTTACCAGGCAACAATTGCCAAACCAACCAAACGTGTGGTGTGGGTGGGGGTGTGTGTATGTGGGCTCCACGATATTTCCACGATATCTGGCAGGAGCTTCGATTAATGTCGGCGTCGCTTAATTGGCTTTCTGTGTTGCGATTTCACCTGGATTGCTGTTGTCGCTGCTGGGTGCGCTCCTTCTGGCACTCCTCCGGCACTCCTCCGGCACTCCTCTGGCAGTGCGATGCGGAACGGATGCTCCGCTCAAGGATGGAGCAAAAAGCACACCAAGAGCATTTGCATTTAGATTGAATTCGGCTGGCGTTTGCCTTTTTTTTCGGCAGTCTCTCTCCCTCTCTCACTTTGAGTGATGCAAGCTGAGGAAATCAAAATCTCACACACACACACACACACACACACACGCAAAGGCAGAGACACACAAACAAGCGCACACAGATACGAGTAGACAGCTGGAACAATGGCGAATCCGCCATCGATGAGGAGTGGGATAAAATGAAGGCAAAAAAATAAAACCGCAGCCATCGCAGAATTGTAGCCCCCCACCCTCCCAGGCCCCCGCTCAATTCAACAGAACGTGGATTTTTGTGCCAAATCTTAATTAAATGCATAATTCGTATTTATTATTCAAATGTTTTTGATTTATGCAAAGCGCGTCCTCGTGCTCGTCGTCGATGCTTTCTGTCGTTCATAAATATTAATTAGAATATTTTTTACCCCAAATGTGAAGAGGATATTTGGTATGCCATAGATTTGAAATTAAACAACTATTATTTTCAGCAACTAGTGCGGGAAAGTGTGGTCATAGTTGGAGTGGAGCATCCGATCTCCTGCCATATACACTCACACGAATATCTCTGCGATTTGGCCTGCAGTTGAAAAGTGCTTGTATCCCTTTTGAATAAATTAATGTCAAAAGTTCTTTGGCTTTTGATTTTGATTGATGATTGTGTGCGCCTGTATGAGCAGCGGAACCTTAAAGCTTCTTCCACTTCCATCGAAACAATGGGAGAGCAAAGCAAAGGCCAAAGCCAAAGCCAAAGTCAACCACTTGCTCCACCCACACAGCCAGCCCCACTTGGAGAGCTTCTGGCACACAGCCTTGCCTCGCCGTGCCTCGCCTTGCCTCGCATGGGAGTGAAGTGGCTGCTCTGCTGCCTCCTTGCTTTGGTAAGCTGAAGATGCAGCTGAAGCCCGAGAGCGTGTGTGCATAGAAATTACGCATAAATAACCAGCCATGAGAATGCCTTGCTTCCGCCCATGGTCCATGCCATACCCCATACACCATACACCAAACACCATACCCCTTCCCCGTGGCTGTCTGTTGCAGCTTTTGAAAGCGGTTGCATCATCATCCTTGTCATCATCCTCACTGCTG